CCCCCCCCAATAAAAATTACAGCTTCCATTTATCATTTTTCTGAGGGTTGCTATAAATTCAGCTGTGCCCCATCTCTCCTGCTTAACGTACTGCAAACTTTCCATCCGCCTCCCTTTGTAGGTTGCATTATTTCTGTAACCTTACACATCTCCTTTCCGCATCCTCTTTTTTTTTGGGGGGGAGAAATTTAAATTAAAATAACTCCCAAATATTTAAAGGCCATCTCCAAAACTGCAGAATGGCTGGTATTACATGCAAACAAAACTTGACTTTTTTAACGAGGGAACTTCCTGCCTTTTTTTTTTCTTTAATAAAATCTTTCAGTAATTAGCAACAGCTTGGACAGGCAGGCAGTGACACTTGCTGCCCTCTGAGCCCATGGGACCAGGGGTCACTCTAGGAGGGCTCCCGCCTGTTTTGCTCCCAAGCCATTTTTCAAATTTAACTTGCAGAGGGTTTGCATCAGATTTTGGGAAGCACATGGAGAAATGAGCATCCGATGCTCTGCTTCCCATCGCTGCAGTGCCATGAGCCTGAAAACTTATTCCTTCTAAACTCCCGCCTGGAGTAATTAAAAGAAATCATAAAAATGTGGGAATGGCTGTATTTCCCCCAGGCTTGTGGTCCGGTATCCATCCTCTGACGGTGGCCAGCGTGCTTCAGAGGGAAGCAGAGACGACCCCCTGCCTGGGGCCGTTCTGGGATGAGCTTCTCCACGGGAAGCTTCTGCCTCCCTTCGAGCAGAGCCTGGCTCGAGTTTAAGCTGAGAGTTGGCCAGGAACCATTCCCGCTCTCCGAAAACTGCTGACGGAAAGATTTTCCTGCTTGTTGAGATTTGTTGCGTTTTGTCAAAAAAATCCTTCTTTTTCTCCATCTTGGAGTATAACTTTGCAAAAGTTTTTCCATGAACAGGAGAAAAAGGTCAAATATAGAGCAGTCGGTACCTGGCACAGGAGTTTTCGGGCCTGATTTCGAGGAGGAAAACAAGGAATCTTTGCAGAAGTTCATGGCAAGCTTCTTCCAAGCCTGAGCACAAAGAGGGAACAAGATGAATACCAACATGAAAATGTAACCAATGGGCAAGAATTTTTGGGAGACTCTACTTTAGTCTTTTTAAATACAGCACTTAAAGAAGCTGCTCTTGACTTAAACATGATTTTAAAGAGCTAAGCTCTGGCAGTAGTTCTCCTACTGCACAAATGTGTGACCTTGGATGACACCGATCTGCCTAAAAAGAAGGAAAAAAAAGGTGTTGCTGATATTTATTTATTTTATGCTCTGATTCCTCATTCATCATCAGGTAAATTTGCTTTTGGCAGCACCGGCAACTTCCTCAAACGCAGCCAAGGTGACCACTAAAATTAGCATCAAATACCAGTAACGCTTTACATCATGTACACATTATTTTTTTCACTGGACATAAATTGTGAGGTGTTTCGCTTTTGTTTTGAATCCTCGGGGAGGCCGGTCGTTGCTCTGGGCATTGGTCCATGCTGGGGATGGAACCGGCCGATGCAACCGACTCCAAATGTGGAAGTTAAATTTTTTGTTTCACTGGAGAAATTTTCTCAGTCCTTGCCAAGATGAATTACTAAAACGTCTGAAGAAACAGCACTGACCAAGACCTCAGACAGTAAAACACAATTTTCATCCTCTCTCATAAATTTTTTGCTTAATGAAAAGTCCTTGAGGAGCACATTTCTCTGTCAGAGCCAAGGAAAATAAGCGTGTGCATGGTTAAACAGCGCCGTGATCGCTAACGGCCCTGCCCGTGTCCCGGTGTTACCGAACATCTGCAGCTACACCCCCACGGGCAGGATGGGCTCTTCTCAGCTCTTATCACATCAGGTTCAGGCCAGCCAAATGTGTCCTGGTGGCTTCCTGGGTGCTTCACCACCTGCAAACCCATCCCCGGCCACCCTGTCCCGCTGCCCTCAAAGCAGCCTGGCAGGAGCAGCCCCCGGGTGCCCGTCGTGGTCTCAGGGATCTCTGAAGGTCCTTACCTGCACGAGGGCTGGTGGGACCCAATACCCCGGGGAGAGAGGTGGGGAGACAGGAGCTGTGTCTTCACTGCTGGTGGGGCTGGACGCTGGCATCCAAAGACAACTCCCAGCCATCCAGAGCTGCTTGACTGTCATGTGGGCTGAGCCTGGTCTCCCCCAGTATCACCATGTGGCATTTCAGTGCTTCAGCGGTGACCTTCCTGCCCATGAAAACCATCTTCCTTCTCCCTGAAGGGCAAAGGAGGGGCAGGAGGGGAGGGGACGTAGCACCAAAGTGTCAGCATCAACCAGAGGGGCCGTATCAGTGCGTTCTGCAATGCCCCGCCAGCACCCCGGGGCAGCCCCATACAAAAGCGTTCCTGAGTAACAGCCCTGAGCACCCCCAAAATGTGAGAGCCCATCACTGGGGCTGGGGGTCTCCAGCGGGTGCCTTTAGCCAGGCAGGATTGCACCCAGCCGCAGGAGTGTGAAATGAAAAATTTAAGTGTGATGCTGCGGATCCTTATTTTTCCCCAAACAAACGAGACCCCAGACAGCAGGTGAGGGGGCTGCCAGCCGGGAGGGGGGTG